AAGGGGAGGGGGGCTGATATAGATATAAGGACATTTCTCCATCGCCTCCGTCACGTGACATAATTACCACTCCGAATCAATCAAGATGAATTGCACGTCAGCAGCACACGGTGGGATTTTTTCCCCCTTCTCCTCCTTCTGCTCGGTGGCTGGTCCTCCCCAAAGCCTCTGGTGCAGATAGATGGGGCTCGGGCTGGGGCTCCCATGAGCGCGGCGCTGCTGATATAAGGACATTTCTCCATCGCCTCCGTCACGTGACATAATTACCACTCCGAATCAATCAAGATGAATTGCACGTCAGCAGCACACGGTGGGATTTTTTCCCCCTTCTCCTCCTTCTGCTCGGTGGCTGGTCCTCCCCAAAGCCTCTGGTGCAGATAGATGGGGCTCGGGCTGGGGCTCCCATGAGCGCGGCGCTGCTGCTGCTGCTGCTGCCCGCCCGCGATCGCCCGGAGGCGGCAGGAGAAGGAGCAGCAGCAGCAGCAGGAAGAGCAGGAGGAGGAGGAGGAGGAGGAGGAGAAGACATGAGTGACTTTGACGATTGCGGCAGCCACGGGGCCTCCAACATGTACCTCCCCGGGTGTGCTGCTGCTGCTGCTGCCGCCGCCGCCGCCTATTACGTCTCTCCCTCGGATTTCTCCAGCAAGCCCTCGTTCCTCTCCCAGTCGCCTTCCTGTCAAATGGCTTTCCCCTATGGCTCCAATCTGCCGCCCCATGTGCAACCGGTGCGCGAAGTGGCCGCCACAATTGGATGCTACCAAATTGATTGACAGTAACCTCAGTCCAGAAAGGTCCCTCCCAGCGAAAACTTCTTAAAGGCAACATATAAGGGTGCAATAATTCCAACACAAGCAATCAGTCGTCGTCGTCGTCGTCGTCGTCGTCATCATCATCATCATCATCTCAATCTAAATTAAATTTTAACATTTCAATGTTCTGCTCAATAAGAATGTTTATACTGGCATCCTAAATGGAACGGAACGGGATCCTCCCTCAAGGCTTCGACCAGTTTTACGAGGCGGGCCACGGCGGCACCCCCTACCCGGAGCAGCCCGAGCAGCCTCCGGGGGACAAGGGCGACCTCAAGCCACCCCCCAGCAGCGGCAGCGTCTGCAGCAAAAGCTCGCCCCTGCCCGGTCAGGACAAGAAAGTGACCCGCGAGGGCAGCGCGGAGTCCCCTGCGGAGGAGGCCGGCCCGGAGAAGAGCCACCGCGCAGGTAAGCAGCCGCTGCTGCCCCGCCGAGAGGTTTGGGCTTGGGCTTTGGTTTTAAAGGGAGAGGGGGTAGCTCAGATTTGAGAGGGGTGGGCTGAAGTGTGGAGAGAGAGAGAGAGAGAGAGATCACATGGAAGCACAAGGCCACCACTTTGTCAAGCCCGTCGGTCCCCCCCCCTTTTTTTTCTTTTTACGTGGGATTTTATAAGCATCCAAAGGGGTTTTATATATCCTATAAGGTTTCCTTTGCCGTTGTAAAGTGTGTTTACGATAGGAAACCCATTGAGGTGGCCTTACAGGTAGTCTTACAGGAGGATATTAATTGTGACGAAATTGTTGATTGGAGATGTTTGGGAGAAAGAGACATTCCAAGCCATTAAAAACAACAGGAATCAAATAAATGTTGTCCTTCTGAAATGTGTTTTCTTTCGGATTGGCCTTGGGGAAAAGGCCGCTTTTATTCTCAGGGTGATTTCCCTTCCCATTGGGTGTGGGTGTCCTATCTGGATGAGGTTAAAAGTATTTCCAAAACTAGTCACTTTCCTCTTTTTGCTACAAAAGAGGCATGTCTTTTCAGGTCACTTTGGAGCTTTTACTTTTCTTTCTCTCCCCCCCCCCCTTCCTTCCTCTGTTCGTGCTTCTTTTTCCAAACCGCTTTCCCAAAGTTTTCTTTACGGAATCACAAGCTCCTTGGGAATGGGTTGGAATATTCCCTGGAATAGAGGGCTGGCCTTGGTTTTCCAGGGAATAGGGAGAGGTGTTTAAGTGTACTTGTTCTTGAAAGTCCCTGAGTGGAACCAGCTTCCCTCAGTGTGGTCCCTTGGTTCTTCGTCTCTTCCTCTCTTTCTACATTTTTTTTTCAGCCGTTCCTCAGAGGTCCCGGAAAAAGAGATGCCCTTACACCAAGTACCAGATTAGAGAACTGGAACGGGAGTTTTTCTTCAACGTGTATATAAACAAAGAGAAAAGACTCCAGTTGTCTAGGATGCTGAATCTAACGGATCGACAAGTTAAAATATGGTTCCAAAATCGAAGGATGAAAGAAAAGAAACTGAACAGAGATCGCTTGCAATACTTCACGGGGAACCCCTTGTTTTGAAAGGACGGACGGGGAGGGGGCTGGGGAGACGGAAGGAGAGGGTCTCCCTTTCCGCTCATCCTGGCATCCGAGCGCAAACGTCAAGAGCCGCTTACATGGCATCCACCCCGCGGACAGGACAGGTCCCCTTGTTTTCATGTTCAACAGCTCTCGTTCTTCATTCGCAACAGCCTTTGTCTACCCAGGAGGTCTCGGGGGCTTGGCCGTGCAGAATTCTCCCCATGGGGAAACGGGGTAAATCCACGTCCATTCTCATGTTGTCGTGCTGTGTGGTTTTAATTTAATTTAAATTGCCGCCCATCCTTTGGCTCCCCCCACCCCCCGCTTTCCAAGGTTGAAACCAGTGGACCTCAAATGTAGGTGGTCTTCTCCAGGAAGTGCGTCCACCGACCGTGCTTGCTCTCCCTCCCTCCCCCCTTTTCTTCTGTGGGCTCCTTCTACCCCATTTTGCGGGGAAGGGCAGTCACGTACACTGGATATATATCTGTACCCTGATATGGATATATCTCTGGTTTCTATTGCGGTACAGAAAGCATGAGACGCTGTCTTGTTCATGTGAATAAATGGTTACTAGTCAAGTTGGAGTTGCATCCTTGGTGTGCATGATCTGCAGGTCCATCTCTTAAGGACTTTTCTTCAGTAGCGACTAAAGGAAACGGGCTTATCCGGGAACGCAAACACAGCCCCCCCCCAACCACCCTTTTAAAATTTCTCATACATTCTCAAGGAGAACTCGTTATCCCCCTCGGCTTTTGCTAGAATAACCCTTAAAAAAGGGGGGTGAGCACCGCCACTGCAGGTCCATCTAGTTTTGAGGTCAAATTCAACATGGCGGCCTTCTGAGTATCCATTTTTGGACTGGAGCGCGACTTTTTCCCTTCCCTTTAAAAAAGCAAGGGTAAAAGCCACCCAAAAGGAAGCACATCCAAGTCCCGTTTCAGACTGGGCTGGAGATGGTGGTACGTGAGGTTAAGCTTGTGCATAAATCTATCCCGCTACAATCAATGCTGAATTAGAAATGGTTCACTCTGTCTGGGTAGGAGTCATAAAAATAATATTTTGAATCGACTTTGAGAAGAGGAAAACGAAGGCAAAAAAAAATCCCGTTCCCCTTGGAAGTACAAATTCATAGGAAAAGCTAAAACTCCGCTGGGACCTTCTTATGATTCTGATCAGATTTAACTTTCTACTCCAAATCTTGGAAATTTTTTTGTACAGCTGTGTGAGTCGAATTAGATGCAAGAAAGCCAACGTTTTACAGGACCTTTCTTCTTCTTCTTCTACATTATACAGACTGACGCCCAGGCCAAAGAACGAAATCTAGGTAGCCACTAACCTGTCAAATGTTTAATTTAATCCCCCACCCAGAAGAATGTGGTGGGGATCTTTCCCTCCTCTCTATGCTGGGTGACCTGGCAAAGCTGTTTACAAAACCTTGAACTGTCTAGACAACACCATAAAAGCTCAGGGTCTAAACAGCTTAATTGGGTTATATTGTGCACCTCCTGGTAGGCAAAAAAGAGAGAGATTTCCGCAATGTGCAATAAAGGAGAGGAGTGAGAAAAGAATTTAGCTTTTTAAAACGGGCAAAGGCAAAGGTGGGGTTTGTAGAAATAGGAGATGGTGTCGCCCCAACCTCTTTGCACTCCTGTCATGGTCAAAGTGGCAAAAAATAAAATTAAGGTGGGAGGAAAAATACGAAATAACCTTTAAACCAAAAGACCCAAAAGTAAGCAAGGATGAAAATTAAAATTTGAAACTCTTATGGAAGGGAAAAACCCCAAAGTATATGCCTTTGAACTTCCAAAATGTCAAGGTCATCACCTTTAACCTTTCTGAATAATTAGGAGCCTTAAAGGTTCCTCTCTTATTTTCACCACCACCCACCCTCTTTGCTTCTTTTCCCCTGTTTCTCTCTTCCTGCTGCCTCCTCCCCTCTCTTCTGCCTCACACACGCACACACACACACACACACCCCAGATGCATGCACACACACAAACACACTTCTTACTGCATAGCAAGCATCACATAGACCTTCAAACATCTCAGCTTTCATTAGGAGGGCTTTCCTTTTATCAGTCACTGATCAAATATGATATTTAGGCAAATAGATTGTTTATTGTAAAGACTTTCCTAATTCCATTTATTTCCTTATTGTTTTATTATTATTTTTCTTGGTCTCCCCAATATATTGTAAAACTGGATTCTTTTCCAGAGCATAGTTCTCTCTGATTTGGTAGTTAAATGCAAAACTCAGATAAATGGTATAAAAGAAAAAAATAAAGTAAAATATAGTTCTCGCTGATTTGGTAGTTAAATGCAAAACTCAGATAAATGGTATAAAAGAAAAAAATAAAGCAAATATATATATTTTGTGTGTGTCTGTGTGTGTGTATGCACACAAAGTGCCTATATATATGTATATATATATATTCTAAAATATATACATGCACATACACACACATCGACACACAAACATATACTGCAATCTATCTCACTTGAAGTAGAAGATAATTCATGTATGCAAATTTCTCAGAAAATTACATTTTGAACTGATGTTATTGACTGATATTTGGCCAGAAAACCAAATACTATAAGTTGTTTTTTTTAAACATAGGGTGAAGGAAATTTTCTTAAAGTTGAGGAAAAATATCTCCAGCATATGCCCACGCAAAATAATTGAATCAATTCTCTATTGGTTAACTAGTGCTAGCTTTCAAATACTCTTGCTATATTTATCCCTAAATCTGGACAATGTCCAAAGTATTCATAGTAAAAAATTCAAAATCATTTCAGTTTCTTCCACTACAGATTTTTAAAATATTTAATGTTACATTGAATAATTTTAATATATATAGCTATATATATAAGAATTGGATAATGTATTAGAAAAATGTGAAAAAGGCAAAGAGGAATTTAATTTTTTTAAGCCTCTTTTGCTGCTGTACTAAGAAATTCCACAAGAGGGAGCTCCCATATTCCGGAATGCATAATTGTCTTGATGTTCAAGTGTAATTCCGCCGCCGCCCCCCCGTCCTCAAATAATCCTGCGACTAATAAAATATCTAATATATACAGAGCTATAAGATTTCAGAGCTTGGGAAATGAGAAAATAGAGCATAAACAAGATTTATTAAACAAGTAACTCAGAGCTATGACATGAACAAGGCGTATTTCATAAAAAAAATATTTTGGGTCATAATATCTTATAATAATGATGCATAGGATTATATTTCCCCCTTAAGATCATCGTTCTAAAGCAAGGGTTATCTCTTGACATTCCTCAACAGAATTTTTTTTAATTGTTTCTTTTTTAAAGGGCTATGGCAAAGAATTATCAGTGCCGACAAAGCATCTTTCTGTTTGCGAGGAGAGGGAGGCAAGGAGATAACACCATTAAAAAATAATAATAATCGAAAACCCATATTGTGCTAATGTCTTCATTATGACAACTATATTGTACCTATTTCTTGTCCTAATAAAGATGTTACTACATATGGGTTTGGGGGTTTTTTTGTTTGCTTTTCCCCCCTTCCGGTCAAAACAACCACTGCTGCTTTTTCTGGGCCACCCTTAGAATTGTTGAAAAACGTGCTCTTTAATGAACAGGTCCTTGGGATGTCTCAGTAATTCGCACAAGGCCTTTCCTCAAAGAGCGAGCTTATTTATCTGGGAGAAAAGTCGGTCTTTTCAAAATTACTGCCATATCCTCACCTTGGCTCCTTATTCAGAATCTGAATGCTATCATGTGCGGATAGAACTCAGAGAAGCCTTTTTTTCTCTACAGGGCACCAAAAAAGGGGGGAAAATGAAAATAAAAGAGAAAAAGGCTAGAGCCCCTCTCCGAAATTGTTCGGTGATTAGGCATATCTTAGCTTTAGGAGATGACCTTGCAAGACCAAAATACCCACGAATCGGCGGTGATTTTTCTTCCTCTCACCCGCGACGGGAAGCGGGGCGCAGGATCAGGCAATCCGCTCAACCAAACACACCCCAAATCATCCTCTGTGCAAAGATCGTAGGGCACTTTGTTTTTCTAAAAGCTTGAGTGAGCTTATTTGTCTCTCTGTGCACGCGCGCGCGCGCGTGTGTAATGTAGGGGAGATATTTGTAGAAGTTCATTGTTAATCAGTTACCTAGACCAGCCCTTCCGCCCGAAATAAATGGGAGGCACAAATAAAGAATCTTACTCTTGGAACAGACGCGCCCAAACCCACAATGAAGGGAACGTTCTAATATAATAATCTAATAGGAAAAGAATAATAACGCGGGAGGGGGGGGTAAACTTTCTTTTCTTTTGTTCCTCCCCGTTAATAGGACCCAGGTCTTGTAAGACAACGCATGATGATGGAATTCTGCTATCCCCTCTCCTCCTCCTTTTCAGATCCACATTCCCCAATTATATGACGGCCTTGTTAAAAAAAAATGTAACCGTGTGGTGTTGGAGCGATATGCGCATTATATAACAAATACTTACATATTTATATCTATATCTATACTCTGCTCATTAAATTAGACAAATACTGTATTTGAGAAATTGGCGTCCTCCTTTTTGGAACTGTGAGGCACGTGGGGTGGTTCTGCGGAGGCTTTTTTGGACCCGAATTATTCCTTTTTCTTTCCTTCTGCAGTTCTCTTTCCCGCAATTCTCAGTTGTCTGGCTGTCCGTCCATCCGTCTGTCTGTTTTATAATTTAAGAATGCTTCCGCTCTATTGACATTTGCCTGAAAAACAGCTGCCGTGTACCTATTTTAAATGTTATCTCAGGTAAACGTGGCCTCCCCCGGATTATTAGACCTCAGGCGAGGAGAGGATAAAAAGTAGATCCTATGGAGACCTTTACCTGGCCTAGCCCTTCCTCTTAAAAGCAGTAGCATCCAAAACTGAACCATCCCCGCCCCCCCCTCTGCATAAGATCTGGGGGGGGGGTGTTAAACAACGGGCCAAAAATATGAAATCTCTCAGGAGGATTTTGGTATTTATGCATTTGTGGATTCAGATCTTCCGAGAGGATTATCTGCATACCTGAATTATCCCACAGATATTATCGAATGCAGTCGGTTATAATAAAGCTATGTTACCTGTGCTACCAAGTATGATGATATTATAATTGACCTGTCCCAGTCCCACGCCCTGTTTTAGTCCAAAATGTTTAGAACAGTGCGTAAGAACGGGAAGTAGATAGAATAACTGCAATGTGGCGGTAACGAAGAAAAGACAACAGGGCAAGGTTCTGTAGAAATGTGTTTCTTTATCAATGAAAAGAATTACCTTCCAATACACCAGCTCTACGGTGTAATTAAAGCGGATGTTTCCAAATGCCTTCTCAGACAAAATAGTAACTCAAACGGCTACAAAAAAAAATAGGAATCAAGGTTTCCAGGGTGTTGCTCTGCTCCTCGGAAAGGCCACATTTTTTCAGGGGGACACTCAGTTTTGTCCCATTGAATGTTCATACCATTGAGTGCCTCCCACTTCGAGCTAACTTCTTTCCCTTCACCTCTCTGGTCAATAAAGATCTGAAAATAAAGCAAACTGCAGTAAGAATAGTAAAAGGTGGGAGAATATCGGGGTTTTTTTTCCTTTTAAAAATAGCCCCGTAACAAAGTGTGAAATACATCTGAATGATCAAAAATTAAGGTTTAAATTAATGACTTTCTCTCCCAGGCTTTATATTCTATTATTTATTAAGACAGAAAAAGGTAGTGTCAACATATATTTTACTGCAAATAGTAATCTAGTTATAAATGGAGCTTTTTTGGCGGGTTTCATCCCCTTTGGAGAAAAAATATGGGACAGTAAAGAGGAAAACCTTTGCAGTAATGTAGATTGTATATCTCATTTATGGCACAATATTGATTTATTTATTAATGTTAATTACTACTATTCCATCTTAAATATGATTTAATACCAAAGTGGCATTAAACACACAAGGTCTAAGTAACCCATTTTTCCAAAGAGATGTTTATTCAACCTCTAGATGTGTCACACTAATTTTAAATTTGGCTTTTCCACCCTCCCTTTTCTTTTCAAACTTCCATGCTGGCTCAGGTCCTTTCTTTAAAAGCAGTGGCTGGTTATGGACCAAGAGATTCCTTAAGAACTGTGTTGAATTATCTTTAGCCAGTGTTGTCTATAACAAAATAAATGGAGCTAATAGATTGCGGTTTAATCTCTGCCACCTCATATCCAGGGAAACACCTTACCTACAGGGAGGTTTCCGAGTCACTTCATTAAACAATGCAGACCCAAGAGACCCAAAGCGAGGATCATCCCGGCTTATTGTTTTAAACGTTGCAACGTCGCGAGAGGCACCAATAAAGTAAGATAAAAATAAATCCAGAAGGATGTTACTACTGGGATATTTCTAGGACACTTCTGCAAGTGTAAATAAGGATTATGGGACACCATGTAATGGGAATGAAATCCCTGATTAGGTTTCACGGTGAAGTCTTAAAACGCAGACCAGAAGGGGGGGAAAAACCCGTAGGATGAGGTTGCTTTAAACTCGGTGGGTCGTCTGGCGTCTTGTTTAGAGGGGAAGGGGGGAAGTAGGGTGGGGGAGAGAAGGAAAATGGCTGGAAAGCACATAAAAAGCCGGCCCCCGAAGTGGGATCGTCGTGACCTCCACTTTTGTTTGCTGCCGGCTCAGACAAAATCTTAGCAATGGCTCTGATAATGATCTTACGTGGGGAGGGGGAAGAGGAGCAAAAAAAGAGCAGAAGGGGGGGTTCTCTCTCTCTCTCTCTCTCACACACACACACACACACAGAGAGAGAGAGAGAGAGAGAAAGAGAAAGAGAAAGACCACCACTGCCAGCCCACGACCTCTTCCTGGCGCTGCGCCTTGTTTATCAAGCCTTAAAGCGGGGTGGGGAGGAGGTTCGGAAAAATCTAGGGTGGTAGAAAATGAGACCAAGAAGAAGACATTTAGACTCTGTGCCCAGCACCAGAGCTGTAGCCTGTAAAAGCCACCCGCTCTTAACCTGACAATGATGTTGTATTTGAACAGCTGCGATAAGCTTTTCAAAGGTCTGTCTCATTGCCACAGAGAGATTTTTTCAAAAAAGAAAAAAAAACAACAACGGGGGACAACGGGATGATTTCAGCTAAGAGAGATGGGGAGCATCTCCTTCCCCCCCCCAAGGGAGCTCCCTTCATATGTGTCTAAAGAGATGTTATAAGGGTGTTTGGGGGTGGGGTGGGGGAGATCAGGATGGCGAGTTAAAACACAAGGTCGAGGGGTGCCATGTAAAATGTCCTTTTAAAATAATTTGTTTTGCTTTCCCTAAGTTTTTACTTTAAAGGGAGGAGGAGGAAGAAGGAAGGGTGTGTGTGTCAACTAACAGGGAGGGATCAAAGGCCCGAAATAAATAGATGAACCTAATACAGCCTTTCGCCACAAACACACGAAACGTGTAAACATTTTTTTAAAAACAGAGAAATTGGAGAAGGAGAAAAAGATGTAAGAAGAAAGTAAAAATGAAAAGAAAACTTACAAAATGAGGAGAAAACGCGGAAGGGGGGGGGAATCTTGACCTTTTTAAAGTGGGGAAAAAATCCATCGGCCAGCATTTTCACTATCGTGTATGGGTTGTGTTCTAACAAACCTTGGGCAGGCGGCAGGAAACCGAGGAAAAGAAAGGAAAAAAACTTGAACTGTGGAAATTAATTTAAAATAAACACCAGAATTTCCACGTAAGCAGTATTCTGCGTCCATTAGTTAGAGAGTTTTGTAGCGAAGTCTTTCTCATTCTGTGTAAAATAAAAGATATATAAAGTTATGCCATTGTGACTATTGTAAGAGAACTACAGAGGATGTTGTGTGCACCTCTGCTTGCGTGTGCTTGTCCAAAAAGTTCAACAATATTCTGTCAGAAAACTTTACCTTTTTTCCCTGTTTCTTTTATGGTGTGCAAGAAAATGTTGTTGATAGAAAAAGTAAAAGAAAGGACTGTGAAATTTGTAAAAATTTGGAAAGGAATTTGGTATAAATGTTAAACAAAATACAGTTATGACAAAAGTCGAGCTTTTAATATTTGACAATTTGTATTAAAACAAAAATTGACCTTCTTGGTTAATCGTGAAGAGGAAAAATCAATAGAATAATTTTCAATAATTCATAACGCGAACACCATTATGCTAAATCTTAACTATTAATCTTATCCTTTACAAAGTCTCGATTGATTTGTTCATAAAATATCTTCCCATGTGTGGCAACAGAGGGTATAACTCTTGAAAAAGCTTCAGAAGCAAGAAAATTACCAAGTGGCCCAAGAATGTAGATGAGAATTTTATTGATCGCCCAGATTCTTCTTAATCTGTATTAATAAATTCCACAACCTTTTGTACCTTGCACTTGTCAGGAACCAATGCTTTTACAGAACCCATAAAAGGAAAACATTATATTCCCCCCCCCCCGGTATCCTCCCAAATTATGACACTCTCAGAGATCACCTACGTACACTTCAAGCAGGATCCGCTCTCTGCTTTCCAACAAAACAAATACAAAACAAATACAAAAAAACTTTGGGAAGGGGGAGGGTTGCTACTGGACGCAATTTCTTTAAAAACAATTTGATTGTGACGAGAAAGACGGACGTGGGGGAGACAGAAGGGATATATATATATATATATTTTCTCTTCTTGCGTGAGCTTTAGGGATGGTTCTCCTCTGGACTCTGTTGGCGCCCAGGAATGGAGCTGAAGAGAATGTTGAGCGGTCAGGCGACCAGCACTTTAGGAACAGGAGGATGATTATTTACAGGTGGAGAAAATGAAGAGAGGAGCCCATACTTTGCAAAGCATGATTTCAGATTTCTGGTTTATTTCAATGTTTCCCCCCCTTCCGCCGCCCC